AAATTTTTGAACTCAATTTTTAGCGATTCTAGACCTCGTTCGGTAAAACAAAGACCACCATTGAACTCCCCGTGACGAGCTGCATCGATTCGATACCCATTTTATGCAAAAATATCAACTTTGAAATTTGACCTTATTTGACCTGACCTTGACCTGACCTTGACCTGACCTTGACCAAAACGTGACCTAAGCTGGCCCCAAAGGCTGCCTGACCCACATAATCGCATTTGTCATGTAAAATGGACCATAAAACATGTATCACACGACACTTTCATATTGTGACCCCCCAGTGACCTGACCTCAGTGACCTGACCTGGTATCAGTGACCTCAGCTAGCAAAATATGTGTTTGAAGAACATTTCCCCATCGATGATTTTCAATGAAATGCATTTTACTCGATTTTACAACGCATTTCTTGAAATGCCTGTAAACGGTGAAAATTGGACCTTTGACCTGACCTGTGACGTCATCGGTTTGACCTAGGTCAATAAAATTGGGTCACAAGGTAGTTCCCTGATAGGGCTATCCAACACCGTTTGCCGCTTGTCGCTACGTTGCGTGGTTCTCGAGATCTTAGGGGGGGGCCAAAATGGCCCCCCCCCAACGGGGCGCGCTGCTCGGCAGAGCCCAACGGGGCGCGGGTTAACCCTCGCATGTGTGCGGCGTTTGCCAGCTTCTAATGTGTAGGGGGGGGGGTCGGTTGGACCCCCCCCTTGCCGTTTGGCCCCTGATCGAGCTAGAGCTTCGCGGAAAAAACGAGCGTGTTGCCCGTGACGAGAGGAAGCCGATGATACCCAATTTTAAGGTCCTAGGTCATTGGTTGACCTTCCAGGTCAGGTCAATGACCCAAAGTCGGGAAAATCGGGACCTGTTAGAAAGTCGTAAAGTGTGGCTACTAAGGGGTTTTTCGGGGTGCTGATCACGAATATCGTGTTAGTTTTGATCACAGATGATGTCTTGAAGCATTTAGACCAGGTCGGGTCAGGTCAGGTCAGGTCAACCAGTAGGCGTCGTGACGGGTATTCGTAGTACGTGTCAACCGCCTCTGACAGCTTCGTAACATGTTACGAAGTCACCAAAACTACTTCGTAAATGTTCAAATGGTTGCTAAATTCGAATTCAGCTCCAAAAACTAGCCTAGAAACATGTAAAACTCGAAAAAGTGACCCGAGGTCACCCGAGGTCACCAAAGGTCAATGACCTGACCTGACCTTCAGGTGACCTTGACACACACGGGAGTAACATCAAATCACATGTTGGAACGTTTGAAACCACGAAAAGCTTGCAAACACGCGGCTAGTGCGAGCCGACATACGCGAAATCGCGATTCCGGCCAAACATGGTCTCGGAAAAGAGGTCACAGGTCAAAGGTCATTTGGGTCAGGGTCATGAAATTTTCAGGGTAGGTGTAAAATTGATCAATGCGAGGGTACTGAAAGTTTCGTCGCGATCGGCCGCTTTTTACGCGAGTTATTCGCGAAAAACCATGGGGGGGGTCCATCCGACCCCCCCCCCCCTACACATGCGAGGGTTAACATACTAAAAAAGTGAGTCGATAACAGTGGATATTTTCTGTAATTAATGCAAATACGATGCTATCAAAAATTATGTCTGATTGCTAGAAATAAGAATAACGCCACTCGCCTGCGACAATGCAGATCCAAGCGATGAACTTCTTTCGCGAGACAAAGGCTGCGATGAGATCCGCCCCGAAAGTTGAGCGTTGACTTCATACGATAGTGGGCGCGGCTTGTGTGCCCACACTAACCATTATAGCACAAACCCACTGAATTGAGTTTAGCATAACTTTGTCAGCCTAAAGGTCAATGGACAATATCCTAAACTAACAGACTTTCGCCGTGAACTATTGCGTTGCGTGGCGAGTTTCATGCAGAGAAAATGACAAGAGAATTGCTTTAGAGTGGCGGTACCTACGATGACCATCAAGCCTTGCATGCCAACTAGAGTAGAACCGCTAAAATATCGCGAGGGTGACATTATATGCACGGATATCAGCGCACGATCACGCGCACATTTGTAACCAGGAACAAGTACCGAGACGCATAAAGCGCTGCGCAATCAACCACGGCAATGACACCCATTAGGGCGGTAAATTACACTGGAGTAACCCGCACCGGAAGAGTAGTTCACGCACTGCGGTATAGGGTTACACCTCGTGTTACGGGTCATTGGCCGATCGTTAGTTCGTTGTCCCTCTCGTGATAAACTGTGCTGTCAAGACAAGGTAACGATCCGTATGGGCGATGCAGTGGTCTGAGCACGCACCCCCCAGCAACACTGGAACAGGAGGCAGGAGCGGTGCTCGATGTGGCATACGGAGGTGAAACTTCATGCTAATGATGCTTAGGCTATTGGTTTTTTATTAGAACCATTGATGTTGGTAAATTTATTCTAATTTTTACCCCTACTCTCATATTTACTTTTACATTTTTTGTTTTGTTTTGTTTTTCAGCGCAATGAATGAACCTATTCATATTGTATAATGCATGAACCTGTCTCATATGTCATGTCATATCTTTCATTGTTTGTATGTCTGATGTACTTTATTTCCCGGACTTCACCTATTATAGTGGATAATTCCTCTGTTGGTTATCATGACAAATAAACAAATAAACAAACAAACATGACTTTGATGAGCTTTAAAATGCATGGAATATATATCCGTTGCATCTTGATTTAAACTTACGTAAGGCGCATGCATGAAGGAAGGTTTGCGGCATGAATGATCTGTGGACGAATGAATGCTAGATATCCTCCCGTGCCAAAGGTCATGCAATAATAATCGAAGAAAAATTATCCTTAACTGATCTATAAGCAGTGCTTACCATGAACTAGGGTTTACAGTTATCCCTTTAGTGAAAAAATATATGAAAAGGGTGGTGCTGGATTTAGAGCTGTCACACAACTCGTACAAATTGAAACCAGAGTTCACCGAAATAACCAAAGCAGGCTTGGTGAATTATGTTCCCACTTATTGCAACGCTCTGCATCGAAATCACAGAATGCTGAGATAATTGCAACCGACATTCCACTGACAAGTTTTTAAATTCATCACCTGGTGCTAGTTAGAGCAAAATTGGCAACTTTCACGTGCTTGCTAAATGCAAAATATTTTACGGCTACAAAAAGAAAACATTTTCACATTTTTCCACACACAACCTGTCACTCAAATATCAGTGCTTGGTGGCTGACGCCTGACGGTATGTAAGTGCTAGTGATGTCAATCGGTTACCGAAAATTTCGGTTACCGAAAAGATATGCTGACCGATTCGGTAATCGGTCGGTCAGGCCCCCCAAAAATCGGACACTTTCGGTCACCCTGCCAGTGAAGCCATTTTCAAAAAGAGAAAGTATTCCATTTTTGCCTAGTTAAAATGAAATTTATTGGGATGTTAATGATAAAGAGTTACAAAATTTCCCCCAAAAGCTACAAGAGATGCCACATTTTGGCAACTTCAGTACCCATCCTGATCCCACCCAGCAGGCAGCAGCCACCCATTGTGCAACCACAACTACAAGCAGGCTTATTTTGACTCAGTTGGCCCCACAAATACACACAATTTCGAAACTCAATTCCAGTCTAACTGTTAAGATATCACCTGTAATCAAAGAAGTATTGCCTACAAAAATCATTATACAGTGATCAAAAATGCAAGGACAAAAAGAACTTGAATTACTGAAATGTGTTTCTGAAGACTGGACAGTTAGCACTAAGCACTTAGCAGTGATCACATTTCAATTTACATTTCACGGGTGTTCTACTATTCCACATTCTCCTTAAATATTGCAGGTACCAACCAAATGATTGAAATCTAGATGACCACAACATAAAAATTAAAAACATAGGAATCTTGATAAAAACTACAGAGGGCCATGTCCGCTTTCTGGAATCTTCCACATCATCTCCAAACACAAGGGATTTTGAAACAGATGCGCCATAACAGAGACTTTAAACCAGCTGATTAAGTTGCTGCAAAAAGGTTTTGGATTGTTACATGCTGCATCGTGAATGATTTTATTGATGTAAATGTTCCAACACGATTTTGATTTGAAGTCTAATGAAATCAACATTGTAAGTGTAATTCACTTCAAGGAAATTAGTTTCACTTCAATAATTCAACCAAAAGGGCATATAAATAAATATTAGGTACGTCATCGTCTTACATCCTTTAGTTAGGGAAGAGAGGATCTTAAAAGTCAATCCTTGGTTCTACTTGGGTTCTACTGGGTTCTACTATTGTTTTGCGCCTGTATTAATTTTGTCTGCATATTGTGTTTTCTTGTAAAGATAAGACAAATTGCCAGTTTAATGAATTTTCATTTCATTTTTGGGACGAAATTCAGGCTCAGAGCTACCTAATACCTGCCTTGTCAGCTGGATTTTCAGTGTCAAATTCTTCGTAGAGTGTCTCAGACCACATCTCAAGACTCAAGGCCAGTTTCCAAGCAGTGTTGATGTGTTTTGTGGTGTTTTGATTCTGCCTTTTCTCCTAGGGAATGTTGTCATGAACATACCTATTACCAACCATTGGACTTAAGCTAATTGATCGTGCTTTTGCACCATGAATGAGTATTCTTCCTTACATAGACCACAGCAGATTCTTGACAATTCTAATTAACCAAATCTGTGAAATGCTGAGGTCCATGTGTTCCTAGTTTACCCTTAGCAATGTAACTTCTACCACAAAATGTATTTTGCAGTGGCTAGGAGTTGACTGAATTTGGACTGAAATGCCAGTTCCCATTATTTTCCATCAGAATTTACCAATTATTTTAATTTTGGGGTATTTCGGTCAAATTTCGGTCAAACTTTGGCTTGGGATGTTATCGGTCGGTATTCGGTCGGAAATTTTTCCCAAATTTTGGTTTCGGTCGGTATCGGTCAGACATTTTTTGGAAAATGACACCACTAGTAAGTGCCTCCTCTTCCCCCTCATTGTTGTTGCTCATTCCTCGCTCATTCACCCAAATCTACTCACCGATGACGGTGAGATTGACGCGTGAGTTTCTGGTGGGCGACTGTAGAAAGTCGACTCGACACCGGTACAACTGCTGATCGCTGGCCTTCACCTGGCTGATGACCAGCGCCGCGCCCTTGGAGCCCAGTCGGAAGGTGACCCTGGTCCTGTCGACGGCCGGGTCAGACCAGTGGGACCCGCTGCCGTCAGCGGGGCCGCCGGTCACTGACGAACGGCTGTCGTACCTGTGGGGAGGGGTAGGTCAGTGGGAGAGAGAGAGAGAGAGAGAGAGAGAGAGAGAGAGAGAGAGAGAGAGAGAGAGAGAGAGAGAGAGAGAGAGAGAGAGGGAGAGAGAGAGAGAGAGAGAGAGAGAGAGAGAGAGAGAGAGAGAGAGAGAGAGAGAGAGAGAGAGAGAGAGAGAGAGAGAGAGAGAGAGAGAGAGAGAGAGAGAGAGAGAGAGAGACGTTCTTAGAAAGATAGACTGGACCTGAGGGAAGCGATAGTTCTCTTCATACATGCCTAATAGTTGCATTGTACATCGTGAAATTAAATTGATGCATTAGTGGGTAACCCTATTAGTGGCAGGCTCCTGGCTACCCCTATTAGTGACAGGAGGGCTGTTTACGACCCCCCCCCCCCCCTGATATCTCGAGATCTAACGGGCCGATTTTCAAAATTCAAACGGCATTCGATTTCGCTCAACGTGATCTACATTTCTAAAAAAATAAAAATTAAAAAATGTCAATAGGGGGTAGAGGGGGGTAAAACGGGCAAATTGCAGATACATTTTAGACTGTTTATCACGGCCAGGTTTCTGAACCAATCTTAACGCAACTTTTGCCGATCGATAGAGAATGAACCAGGAATTCACATGGATCCTAAAAATATGCATTTTCAAAAATCATAGGCGGGTACAGATCATTGAGATTGGGGGTACACAAAAAGTATAGTAAGTAAGGTTTTTGTTGGTACTGTTTCTAAAAAGGGTGGTAATGGTCTTGTTATGTTACAATTTTCTTATGAGAGAACGACTACAATTGTATTGGTCATGCATAGGCGGTGTCAGGGCACCTATGTTGGGAGGTAAAACATAACCCCCCCTTTTTGGACGCCTGGATCCGCCTATTATAGCAAAAACGTGTCAAAAGAGGATGCACAATAACTTTGTATATGTTATCACATGATACCTTTCATTCACTGTTCGTAAAACTGGTGCATACAGTTATAATACATCAGCATCGTGATCTTCGCCCAAATGACTCGCTTCACGAATAGGACCCCCCAATTCCCAGTGCTCTGGAGCCGCCCCTGGTAAAGTTATGAACTTGAAATTTTCAGGGAATGTGCCCAATTTAGTTTTAGGAAAAGTCAGAAAATTTCAGCATCGTAGCTTCAGCGGTTTCGGAGATATTGCCGAAAAATATGAGGGGTGGATGAAAACACCCCCCCCCCCTCTGCCACTATACTCTGTTCCGTGAGAGGAGGAGCGATCTGCCGAAGAAACTCCATGCAAGCTTGATATGGAACAGACTATAATAGGGTTAAGAGTGCCACGTTTCAACCGTACATTTTATTCAAAAACATACAAATTTAAAGTTATCCAAGCAAACTTCAATGAAGAATATTCATGTTAATAATCCTGATCTGATCATGTCGAAAATCATATGTAGTTAAGAGCAAACGTGTCCTTACGGTTCGCGGGCATCGTCTGATAAATAAATATATCAAATTCAAATTTTCATCTCGCCCAATGGCTGGCCGACGGAACACTGGCCGCCCACCAAAGGTCAAAGAGACACAGCGAGACATCAGCACAATGGCAGATACATCGTCGGATTCGGACCGTTAGAGGCATGAATGTGAAACTTGTACATACGACGAGACGATTCTTTGGGGCGTTATTTTCCAGTCGGCGCATAAATCGCCGCCGCTGGCATATCCGATTGGGCCCCGGAGACATGTGGCACCATAAACAATTGGCGCCGTCCCGACATTGGGGTCACACACACATGCATACATCTCGCGGAGCTGGCGTCCTTCTTCAAAGCAAAAGTCTCTTGGAATTGGACTGCCGCACAGTTATATGTAAAGCATTGCGAATTGTGGAATAGCATTATTCAACATAATCAAGGCTCTGTGTTGTTTATTTTAGATGGTTTAGTATTTTATTTGTATGATTACCCAATGAGATTAGGCTAAAATCATGCCATGCATTGCAAAGAGATGCAGCACCGTGAGAACAGCCTGGTATAAAGTTTAAAATAAGCTCGAAATAAATTCTGTTACAAAAATGAATTCCTGTCATGAGAATACACTCCGGGCACTGCCCTCTCCATGGGTCACCGATTAGATCTGCCTCGGCCGCCGGCCAGATTAATGATCCTGTTACTTGAGCCCCCGTCTGCAGTGTGCCACCATCTCTGCTGTGTGGCGGCGCCCATTTATACATCCCTCCCTCTGGGCAGTACTCCACTCACGTGTAGATGGGCGTACCGCCGGTACCGTGGTACCACAGTACCAGCCGCAGACGGTCCGACCGGGACGGGGGTGTGACGTCACAGGGCAGCTCAGCTGACTGGCCGGCCACCGCGTACTCTTGGGTCAGCTGACCTGAGGACACGCAGAAATTCGGTGATGTTATTGGCTCCAGCATGCAACGTGTTAGTTCTTGCTGACGTGTTAGCATGCTGACATCGCACTCCATGTGCGTCAAATAACACATGATGCAAAAAATAAACCTATCTTTAAGACGTCAGTGAGTGAGGTATTTTACCGTCTCTCAAGGTTAGCCATGGGCCATACTAGTTTTTCTTTATTACAGTTTCACCTTAGAGCGGGAGGCGAAGGCGATAATATTTTATCACCGTAAGCACATGCGTTGCATGATGTGTCATTTTGGAGGCGTGAATAGAATGCGTTCATTTATCAGTATCAGTATCGAACTGAAGACGCTAGGACGGTGGCGTGACCTCTTTTCTGATAAGAAATGACGATATCAGACGATGGAGGTGGAAGCTCGATGCTTGCATTCAAAGGCCTAAAACACCTTAGGTAGAAAGCCGCGCAGTAATGCAGCATAATCCAAAATCCAAAAATCAAGAAGTAAGCTGCTGCGAAAATATTTTACCTTCCTACCAGACTAAGCAGATTAGAAAAACTTCACTGCATCAGCCAGTTCCTATTTATTCGCCGCCATATTAGTTTTACAGATCGGGTTTGATTTCACGGGAGTCGCCAGGCGACTCGATGACGAGTTTGCAGCAAGTTGGTCCCACCGGCTAATTGGTGAGCTGGTGGTAAACAGCCGCGCCGGGTAAGGTAAGTCCTCAGCTATCGGAGAACCAGTCTCAAACAGGGAGGGATAGAGACGCGCTATTGATTTCACCATTATTTGTGGATCAACGGCATCGAATGCTGCCATTGACCGTATACATAGCAAGCGCTCACTTCTGCGATAATTGTACCAGATAACACGTGAGATGATGTTTTTCGTACTCCAGCGTAGATGGGTAGCCATACGGCTTCCACGGTAGACAGTGATGACATCAGTCATCTTTTGCAAGCTCGTTAAAGAAGCTCTCAGTCCCAGCGGATAAAAACAACACCTAAGAATTACCAGATAACACGTTTTTACCATACCGTTTTTACCATCGGCACACTTTTGGCCATGTTGTAAGGCAAGAGAACTTCGCAATCAGCTGTTTCCTGCATATTGGACATAAATAAGCAGCTGGAAGCAGCACAAATGTCTCTTAGCCAGAAAATCTGCTGCTGATTCAGCATAACGTCTAATTAACCCAGCTAGAATGTCCTGCAGTGTTCATTTGAAAATGATGTCCTCAACTCTCAAGGATGGGCTGTGGAATAGCTAGTTAGATTCGCCAGCTGTTGAGTCGATAAATACTGAAAATCAGGCGGCCACAGCAGTAGTTTTCAACATAAGTATGTACTATGTAGCATAATTGTGCATGCTTTATTTCATGTATGTACGTCAAATAGTGTACGGTTGTACATACGTATATAGTTAAATGCATACAGCACAACATACGACTGATTGTGGTCCATGTTCTGTGATATTCAGGTCAACACTGATCATCTGTTTGACCTCTCTGCAGGTTCTATTTATTGCTTTGGCTGCTTTCCATTTATTCGTTGCTCGCGTCGTTTCTACTTACCAGCGTTTTGACGTCCGTATAGACCTGGGAATGAACAGAATGAAGTGAGCTACGACAAACAAACGTACCATTTATAAAGTCATCTCAGAAAGCAATGTTTTAGCTGGCATTGATAGCCGGCAGGATAGTCGGCAGGGTACGTCAAGGCAGTAGTACAAGATGTGACAAGCACAGCCTGCTCGATGAGTTTCACTGAGATTAAAAAAAGAACACTTCATGGACATGGTGCTCAACTGTATGATGTGTATCAAAACCAGCAGTACTATCACTCAGTACAGTATCACTCCAATAGCAGCAGCATCACCCAGTTTCATGTAAGTACCAATGATGCATGTCTGTTGCTCACTGCTCAGTGTTCAGCACAGGCCGGCCGCATTCACAGCATGGTGCCTTGCGGTACAGTCTAAGTACGCAGGGTGCACCGCGGCGCAGTCTAACTATTCAGGGTGCATTGCGGTGCGGTATACCAACACTACCAGCCAGCCGCCATGTCCTGTGTTCCTGGTCATAAATAAATAACTTCTAAGCATCAAAACATGTGCAATGGCGATGACTTTATCATTGGACAACTGTGGTGTTACAATGAGGCCGCTGGCGGCAATACACAGCAATGAAATCTGGATAGAAAAAAAATGCAATCTCCTGTAAGCAGAAACTACTAATAAAGAATAAACGATAAAAGTATGTTACTTACGAACTAAAATCCCATAAGCCCCGTACAACGATTAGAGAAAGAGACAGCTTAGGGCGTCACAAAGTTTATTTTCAGATCTAAGAGAGTTTCACAACAAAACCCAGACTCAGGCAGCTTTCCAGCTGAGAGGAAACATTCATTCTTGAAGTTTTTTTTTAATCGCCCAGAAGTCAAATGAGTTGTTCTTTTGTTTGTCAATTTCGCATGGAAATTCGCCAGAAACCGTCACAATGATCGTCAGGCGTCAATCATATCATTGTTGTCTTTTCAGTATAATATTCACATCTGGATCAACTTGATAAATACGACAAAAGCACAAAGATAAGTGCGTTCAAAGTTTGATGCATATGTTTTAGTATGTTGCATTTAAAGTTGTCATGCATGACTGCAATTCTCTAAAAAATTCATACTTATATACACGAACTACTTTGCTCAATCATGCTCGCGAAAAAGAAAATCACACCTAAATTGTTTTCATGAGGGACTTTGATATCATCAACGCCAGTTTTTAGCATCAACGTCAACGTAAAATAGTCATCAGGCCATACAGACTAAACGGAAAATCATGATTTACTATTCACCGCGGTACACATATACACATTACATATTATCTTGTCCACCACTTAGACAAGGTGTTGTTATGACATTGCGGCATTTGTTACAAAGTGCAAAGGCTTGGTCACGTTTTATCAGATATATCTGATGGTATGCTGCATAGTCACGACTAACTATGCGGTCTAATCTGCCAAGTCTTGTGACTTTAATCTAGCTTCGTCCCACTTTGTCTCTGCTCACGCAATCACGCCTCGTGTCGTCTATGTAATCTCGTATTGCGTTATTCCTTACCCACGTCTCATCCCTCCTCGTCCCAGCGCAGCCCGTCTCGTCTTGTCTCGTCCCGCATACAATCCTTTCAGCAGTCCTGTCGCCTCGGACGTGCCTCCGCCTGCGGCCTCTGCATATCTCAACTTTGACCGTAGGTCACCGGGCCCGCTAATGCCCTCGGCAGTGAGCTGGGCGCCTGAAAGGCGGCGCCGCGCCCCTATCTCGAACTGCACCGCCCCCGGGAAGTCAGCTCGTTCATCGCGTTTCAACGCCGCAGCCAAATTGGATGATGGAACTGTGCCGCGAGCCGGCCGAGCCCCGGCTCAATCCCGCTCAAATCTGCAGAAGAGCGCAATTCTGACAGTTGACTCGGCTTTTAAGCCAGACAAACGCTCAATCCGGGCCGACTCTCGAAGCGGGGGTGGCGTCAAATCCAAACAGCGGCGGTCTATTCAAACAGGTGGCGGCGCTCTATTCAAACCGGTGCCGCGCCCGTAACTGGGCGCCGCAGACCTCACGATTGCGTCGACTGTTCGCGGCGCTGCTACTGTGAATTGACGCTGAATAAATGCCTACAGATGAGCGAGCGCCCACATAGAATATTGTGGGTATGCGTGATGGAAGGGCCATATCCTTACAGTGAAAGTTTTCGAACTGATGACGATGATGATGGACTGATTTAAGCTTGTTTTGCTTGTGAACTTCCTAATACTTCTTCAAAGGTCTGTCAAACACTTTCTGCTCAATGGTTATGAATAAATATATAGACCTGTTCCAGTTCATTATAGCCATGCGTGGTACCGAGAACCTACACAACATTCCCATTCGCAGCCCCTTCACCTGGGCACAAATTGTGGTGTCAACTTGAGCTTTTTTTTGATGATTTGGTACACTGTCTGCGCCTCATCAACGTCGTCAGGCTGCAACATGGCCTCATTCAACAGCACACAGGCTCGTCTGCGGACATTGATCGGTGCCATTAACGTCGAGTTGGTTTGTCTCGTGGTGAACTATCGGTCGGGGAGCTGTTACGGGGCCGCTGCTCGCGGGCGCCGTGATCCAGGAGGCATCCGTCAGCGATCGATAGAATTAAATCATCTGCTGATGGACGTATCTACACTATCGGCCGAGAGATTCACACCATCGCGATGGTGTGAACTGGCATCTGCGACGGTCGTCCGCGGCCATCCATCGGGTCGTCTTGCCCAGGAGCTGGAGGTGCCAGGATCGCCACTGGAACAGATTCGAGAAGCCAGACTGCATGTTTGTCGAGCATCTTCGCGAAGATCCGTCGAACTCTTGGAGTAGTGATATCAATTACGGAAAATCGGAATACCGATACCAAACCAAATACCAACCAAAACCATGGGAAAATACCGAAACCAAACCAACTTGGGAAACTGAGGAAAATACCAACTTTTCCCCGATTTCTTAGCTTCTTATACATTAGTGAGGGCTTATGATACCAACAAAATACCAAACACATTACGATTGAAATACCAAATACCAATTTGGTATCGGTTTGGTATCGGTATACCAAAAAGTTGTTATCCGATTGACATCTCTATCCTGGAGCATCGCAGCGTCGATGCATCCTCTTCCGGTGATCAAGAACGACGTCCCGGATGACAGATCGGTCAGGCACACGTCCAGGAGGAACCGAAAGACACAAGAACTCGACACCAGCTTGCAATGCCTCGTCCGACATCAGGGGACCGGCTCCCAGCATCGCCTCCAGAAGCTCCCGACGGGTGGGGGACGTCATCTCATTGAGTGGATCTGAAACGGGAAAATCTAATTTACTGCTAAAGTAGCAAAAAGTAGCAAAACCTTTTCCTACCAAGTGAAGAGTGATGTCGTAGGTATCACATGATATGGGTTTGATTTTGTACTTTGCTGTCCTTCTGTACGATTTCATCCGATGAACAAACAACAAGCGACCGCACGACCACTGTGATTCCAACCAAAGGGAATTCTCCCAGTATTGGCTCAAAAGGGGAAACGACCACTTGGTTGGGAAGTTGCCATCCTTGGGTGACTGGAGGTACCACAAAAACTTGGAGACACGAACGTTCACTGGTGAGCACACGAGCACAACTCGTCACTTGCTGAGAAGCGGCACAAAGAGGGGAAAACCCTCACTTTTAAACGCGCACTGCTCCTGATCAGAGGGCTCGGGAACCAAACTAAAAGCATATCTCGGTTCCCCAGGAACATAACAAAAGAAAAATAACCCTGGAATAAGTAAATTCGAAAACAGCAAATATTATTTTTGATCGGGTCTTACGTGAATCTGGACCAGCGTGTGCATCGGTCGATAAATTTACGCCATCGGCCGGTAGGTGTGTGTTGTCAATCGTCAGATATACTTCATATAGACGAATAGTTATACGCTGCACCAAAACATCGCGTGGATCGTATCGTTCCTGGAATGGCAATAATAAACCAGCTTCTTGCGTCATATAAGCTGGACGCATGGATAAGAAGGTAATGGGAGGTTCAGAACTTCCGACAGACAAAAAAGAAATTACCGAGCGAACGAACTACTTCTGACAGACCATAGCTTCTCCCATCGGTACCTCAGCAGAATCAAATTACCAGATTAGTATGAGAGCTGCGACCTTCAACATCAAAGTTGGCGTTACAAAAGATGGAGTCAACTCCCGAAAAGCACTTAGCCTTCGCCTTCATACCTAAAAGCTGTGTCGTGGGCTCTTTCAACCGATCGATTGGCAACTGTTGTGTTTGTGTATAGGCCCCCCCGAGGCCCCATACTTGGACCGCCTCTGCGGCCCCACTGGGCCCGGTGCCTGTGAGCGCCCCTGCCGGCGCCAGCTGACCGTGCGCGCCAAGCGGCGTGACTGGCGCACGGGACGTGGGCTGGCGCTCGCCATACTTGTTTACGTTTTCGTGTATCTCTTTCGGCTTAACGTTTCGCAGCAAATAAATCGCTTTAATCCGTTTATATATTTCCATTTCGAACCGATAAACGACAACTAAACATGGCGCGGTCGGTTAGTGGTTATGTGTGCGGATTTTAAAGTACAGTAAACAGTAATACGTGATGAGTGACATTGATAAGCTGACCCAGCTGCTCCTGCAGCAGGCCGAGCTGTCGGCGCAGCGCGAGGAGCGTCTCGGTCAGCTCGTGGAACGGCTAGTCGCTGATCGACAGCCGCCTGCTCTTGTCGCTGGGGACGATGCACTTCCGGCGACCCGGCCCACGGCGGCCGCCCCGCCCGTGCGACTGCCGGCTGCCGCGACACCGGCGCCGCATCTGTCATCATCTACTTCGCTGCGTGACTTCGCCGTTTGGAGGGAGAAGCTGGATGGCTATATGCTTCTCACTGGCGCGTCATCACTACCCGTTACTGCCCAGCGAGCCGCTCTCCTAAGCCTCCTCGACGAGGACTGGCACCGGGTGCTGCGTTACGGCCTCAGCGTCACGGACGATTCTCCCCTCTCCGAGGTGGTGGACGCAATGGAGAGCCACCTCCGAAAACAACGCAGTGTCCTGGTGGACCGTCGAGCCTTCTACGCCCGGGTACAGGAGGAGGGCGAAAACTTTGATGAGTTTTTGTGCGATACGAAGGAACTCGCAGCGTTTTGTGACTTTTGCACGCATTGTTACGACTCACGTTTGCGTGATAAGATCGTGTGCGGCCTGCGAGATGAAGAAACAGTGAAACGGCTGTTGGAGGATCCAGAACTCGACCTCAAGAAAGCCGTAGACATCTGTCGTGCGTCGGAAAACGCCCGCGCTACCTGCTCTGACCTCCGCGCGCCGAACGCATCGCTGAACCGGCTGTCAGCGTACCGCCGGTCAAAGTCGCGTGATGCGCGCCCCGCGGCCCAACCCGGCGGGCGTTCCGCGGGTGCAGCTGGCGTGCGCCGCCCCCTGGCGCGCGATGCGCGCCCCGCGGCCCAACCTGGCGGGCGCTCCGCGGGCGCGGCCGGCGCGCGCTGCTGCCGCTGCGGGCGGGCCGCCCACGCAGATCCGGCGGCGTGCCGCGCCACTAGCGCCACCTGTAACTCGTGCGGCCAGCGCGGCCACTTTGCAGTGGTATGTGTCCAGGTGGCGCGCGAGAGCACCGTTGCCCCCGTCGAGCACGCAGCACCAGAGCCGCACATCGGCCGTCTAATACGAGACGTCTATGTACACGGCGTCTCTACACGGCCGACACCTCCCGTGTCTGTTCGACTGTCTACCGCAGCTGGTGTGTTCACCATGGCGGCCCGGGCCGACTCCGGTGCCGAGGCGACAGTCATCGGAGAAGACAGCCTGTCTTCTATCTGCGTGGAACCAGCGCAGTTGGAGCCCTGTATCGGCCAGCCCTTCTCAGCAGTGGGGAGACACCCGCTCACCTGTATCGGGTCGTTCCAGGCTGCTCTGGAGCTGGGCGACCGATCGACCACCGCCGCCGTGTTCGTCATCAAGGAGATGACTGGCCTGCTACTCAGCTGGTTCGACTGTGTGGCGCTGGGGATTCTGCCGAGGGATTTTCCGGCACAGATCCGGTCTGTCGAGGACGCACCGCGCCCCACTGATGACGTCACACCCTCTGATGACGTCACACCGTCTGCACTGCCGGCCGCTGCCGGCTCTGCTCGATGCGCCAGCGACCGCCCTACCCCGTGTGAGACGCCGCGTGACAGGCTCTGTCCGGCCACCGGGGCCGAGACGGGCGGGCCGGCGCCGCCGGCCGATGGACCCAGCCCGGCCGCCGGCCTCGGCGGCCCGCTGCCGGCCTGGAACAGCGACTCAGACCCACCGGAGGCGGTCCGGGCCGCTCATGCCGCCGCTCTGGTGCAGTGTTTCCCGCGCGTGTTCGGGCAAGATTCGACTCTCCGAGTCATGGACGGCGGCCCGATGAAGATCGAACTCCGGCCCGACGCGAGTCCGACGTCGGTCACCGCCGCGAGACCGATTCCCTTCGCCTGGCGGGCGGAGGTGAAGGCGCAGCTGGACGACCTGCTGAACCGCGGCATCATCGTACCCGTGGACTACCCGACGGAATGGTGTCATCCCATT